TCCAGGGTCTCCAGCTCCAACTCCCGTAGCACCACCAGCAGCACCAGCTCCAGCAGCACCTCCAGCCCCAACTCCTGCAGCACCACCAGCCCCAGCAGCTCCAGTACCTCCAGTACGAGCACCTCCGGGACCAGCGGCTCCAGCACCTCCAGCAGCTCCAACACCAGTAGGACCTCCAGCAGCGCCAGTACCTCCAGTACGAGGACCTCCAGGACCAGCGGCTCCAGCAGCTCCAGCACCAGTAGTACCTCCAGCGGCTACAGCAGCTCCAGCACCAGCAGTACCTCCGGTGGCCCCAGCAGCTCCAGCAGCACCTCCAGCAGCTCCAGCAGCACCTCCAGCAGCTCCAGCAACAGCAGCACGACGACAGCGCCGAGCGTACCACTCGCGCAGCCGCTGTGGAGAGAGGGGCTCCCGCCGTGACGAGCCACCCGGAGGGCCTCCAGACTCAGCACGCTCAAGCTCAGCACCCCCAGACTCAGCACCCCCAGGCTCAGCACGCTCAGGCACACCACCCCCAGGCTTCGCACGCACAGGCTCAGCACCCCCAGTCTCCGCACCCTCAGACTCAGCAGCCCCCGGCTCAGCACCCCCAGGCCCCGCACCCGCAGGCTCAGCACCCCTAGCAGCACCAGAGTCGACAGCTACCTCGACCGGCTCGACAGGGTCTACCTGGGTCACACCAGAGGGGGCAAGACCCTGAGGGGGGAGGGGGTCTACCGGAGGAGTACCTGGTGCTAGGAAGAGCGGCGGGGGGGGGGAGAGAGGCAGTGCGGTAGGGAAAGAGACGGTAGTAAGAGACCGACTCGTCAAACGTGACGTCCTGAGAGGACAGAACACGGCGCGAGGTGGGGTGGTAAAACTGCCACCTAGGCGCGTCAGGGGGGAAGCCAAGGAAAACGCAGGGAACAGCACGAGAGGACAGCTTGTCCGCGGAAGTATCGCGGACAAAAGCTCGAGATCCCCAGACACGGTACACAGCCACATCGCCAACCTTCCCCGTCCACCGCAGTGTAGGTGTGGTCTCCGGCAAGGAGGCACGAGGCTGAAGGTTGATCTGATGCGCAGCGTACTGAACCGCGAACGGCCACAGAAAATGGGGAGCAGCCGCATGGATCATGGACGTACGAGCGCCGTCCATGACCATACCAATGCGGCGCTCAGCAATCCCATTCTGTTGTGGGGAGGCCGGAAGCGTGAACGTCTGGCGGATGCCCTCCGCACGACAGAAAGCCCTACGAAGGTCGGAGGAAAACTCACCACCTCTGCCTGAGTGCAGACGCAGAACAGGAAAGTCCGAGCCGAAACTCTCTCTGAGCTGGAGACGAGCAGCGCGGATCCAGTCGATCAACACCTCAGTGACCTCACCCTTGCGACGCAAGGGGAAGACTGTGGTGTAACGCGAGTCGTCAACGACCAGCAGGAAGTAACGCTCGTGACCCTGTCCACGGACGCGGGCTGGGCCCCACACGTCCATGTGGAGAGTCTGCTGGGGCGAAAGGGTCTCACAGGAACGCGGCTGCTGCTGGCGCTGGCTACCGCGAAAGCCTCCACGCGGTGCGGTACAAACCTCAGCCAGCACCACCACCGCCTCCACCGCCTCCACCTCCACCGCCGCTGCCGCTGCCGCCACCACCTCCACTGCCGCCCCCACTCCCGCCACCACCCCCACCACCACTGCCACCCCCTCCGCCCCCTCCACCGCCTCCACCGCCGCCCCCTCCGTCCCCTCCACCACCCCTGCCCCCCTTGCCCTTGCTGTTGCGGCGCCTCCCACTAGGAGCAGACGCAGCCCCGACCTCCTCAGTGCCAACGAGGTCGACAGCAGCAGCAGAAGCAACATAGGGGAGAAGGGGGACGGGGGAGCACCCCTCAAAGAAAGGGGCGCGAGGGTCGCCGCGAGAAGCACCTACAGCAACAATACTCTTCTCAGCTGCAGTAAGGCGCTCCTCAAGCAGGTCGACGGTGAGCTCAATGGGGCAAAGGGAGAGAAAGTGGTCCCTGACTGAAGAAAGGGAGTCAGGGAGACGGGTGACTAGGTAGTAGAGGGTGATGTACATAGGGGGGGGTTCTTGGCACAGAACTCAGCGGGAAGCGCAGCGCGGTAGCGGGTGTCACTAGTGCGGAGGTGAGTAATGAGGTCAGCGACTGTGGCAAAGGCAGCAAGGTCAGGGAACAGGTACGGCAGCATGAGGCGGCTGAGAGCAGCAGTGGCAGGGGAGGAGTAGCGCGCGACAACAGCGTCATACAGAGACTTTGCAGTCTTGTACTGGCCAAAGTGCGCGCGCTCAGCAGACGGCAGGTGACTACGAACAGCAAGACGAGCAACAGCGTCACGAGTAGTCCACTGCGAGCGAACCGTACTGTCAGCAGTGGCAGCAGGTGCAGGAGAGACACCGGACGTGTGATCGAACAGGGAGACTTCGTCCTTGGAGTCGCACTGGAGAAAGAGCTGTAGGTCGTCTACCCAAACCTCAAAGTCAACAGCACGACCCTCAGCATCAAAGGTGAGAACAGTACGACTAGCCATAGCGGCAGAAGCAGCAGTAGCAGCAGTAGCAGCAGAAGCAGCAGGGACAGGGCAGTGCGGCTTAGTAGGGCGGCGCGGCTCGGTAGGGCGGCGCGGCTAGACTAGGCGGCGCGGCTCGGTAGGGCGGCGCGTCTCGGCTGGGCGGCGCGGCTCGGCAGGGCGGCGCGGCACGGCTGAGCGGCGCGGCTCGGCTGGGCGGCGCGGATGCTTACCAGGGCCGGGTGCAGGGCAGGGCCGCAGCTGGCGAGTAGGTCAGGGCCGCGACTGGGGCGGCAGCAGGGCAGGGCCGCGACTGGGCGGCGGTAGAGCAGGGCCACGACTGGGGCGGCTGCAGGGCAGGGCCGCGACGGCGGCTGCAGGTGCGTCGGCGGTAAGGCAGGGCCGCGACAGGAGCTGCAGGCGCGAAGGCGGCTGCACGGCAGGGCGCGACAGCGGGGCCGCCACGGTGGCAGCAGGCGCGTCGGCGGAGACGGGAGGGCCGCGACAGCGGCTGCAGGTCTGGGGCCGCGACTTGGGGCGGCAGGGCAGGGCCGCGACGTAGGGCGGCAGGAGAGGGCCGCGACGGGCGGCAAAGCAGGGCCGCGACGGGCGGCGGATTGGGTCGCTACGGGCTGCGACAAGGCAGGGCCGCAAAGGGCGGCTCAGGCAGGGTCGCGACCAGCGCGACAGCAGGGCAGGGCGCGCGACGGCGCAGAAGGGGCACGCGCGACGGCGCACTTCGGGCAGGAAGGAAAATTTCAGTGGTGGGCCCTAAAAAATAAAACGTTCCCACGAGGGAACCTGCTCTGATACCATGTCAGAATGAGAACGAAGGAATGATTGAACTAGCAAGCAGGTGGGTACAAGTAGGAAACCTAAAAGTGTTGTACCCTATATTGACTACCCCACTACAGCCTACAAAGACTATAGCATATAAGTTTGACACGCAGGTGTGTAACGAGTGCACCAACATTATCTCCTCCTTCAGGTGCCACCCTCCTTCAGGTGCCACCTCCTTCAATTGCCGCCCTCCTTCAGGTGCCGCCTCCTTTGGGTGTGGCCTCCTTCAAATGCTGCCTTCTTCAGGTGCCGCCTCCTTTGGGTGTGGCCTCCTTCAAATGCTGCCTCCTTCAGGTGCCGCCTCCTTTGGGTGTGGCCTCCTTCAAATGCTGCCTCCTTCAGCTGCCGCCTCCGTCAGTAGCCGTCCTCTCTCTACTGCTGTATACTGCATTGTCTGTGCCGTTCAGAGCTGTACTCGTGCCTAGCCGTCTGGTTGGCGTGCATGTCACTGTCTAGCCGTCTGGTTGGCATGCATGTCACTGCCTAGCCGTCTGGTTGGCGTGCATGTCACTGCCTAGCCGTCTGGTTGGCGTGCATGTCACTGCCTAGCCGTCTGGTTGGCGTGCATGTCGCTGCCTAGCCGTCTGGTTGGCATGCATGTCACTGCCTAGCCGTCTGGTTGACGTGCATGTCACTGCCTAGCCGTCTGGTTGGCGTGCATGTCACTGCCTAGCCGTCTGGTTGGCATGCATGTCACTGCCTTCATCCACCACGCTCTCGCTTTTGTCCATCCTCTTGCCGCATGCCTACCATCACAAGTTCACAGTAGTTACCATGATGAGTTTCCAGTACTTGCACAGCTTGAGTGCAGCTCCTTTCTCAACTCCACCCCACCATGTTTCCCCACCTGGATGCATTTTCCCATCCATTCGGCCCTACCGAATGACCTTAACTCGCTACTCTGCATGCCGGCAAGGATGGCGGGGTGCGGGTGCAGCTGGCCACTGAGGTGGGGGTGCGTGGGCTGGCCGTGGTGGCCTGTGACTTCGTAGTCAACCTCCACCTGCCCGCCTCGCCCACGCACTGCACGCACCGCGCCGCCCGCATCGGGCGGCTGGGCCGCGCGGGTGGTGTCGGTGTGTGAAGAGCGAGGAGTTTGTGGTGCAGCATGTGGTGCGAGAGCTGGGTGTGAAGATGGCGCGAGTGGAGGTGGTGGAGGGCAGCCTCGTGCCGTATGAGGGGCGCATCGAGTACCGAGTGACTGGCGGGAACGCATGATGAAATACCGGTTGGCTAGGAATAGTAGCTTTTGGGGCACCTCAAAAGGTGGAGGGCAGCCTCGTGCCAAATGAGAGGTGCATTAAGTACTGAGTGATGAGGGGCTGGCCGGCCGCCCGCTACCTATAATCATCTTAGCCTACTGCTGTAACCATCTGCGCCAAACTATTTGACTCACATATGTCATATGGAGTCACCTGGGTAAAATTGTTCTTGTTTTCTATGGTATGAATTAGATTCAGAGCCCTAGGGTGGCTTGCCCGGGTGAGTACGGAAAAGAGACTGGCGTCATGGTGCTCCCATGCTCATGGTGCTCCCATGCTCATGGTGCTCCCATGCTCATGGTGCTCCCATGCTCATGGTGCTCCCATGCTCATGGTGCTCCCATGCTCATGGTGCTCCCATGCTCATGGTGCTCCCATGATCGTGGTGATCATGGGTCCATGCGAGCCTTCTTGTGCTGTCCCCACTCGCCACCACTCCTGTGTCTCCCACTCCCACTCTCCCCATCGCCATCACCATCGCCATCGCCAGCCTCGTCCGCATCTCTAACTCGCCTCAACGCACCACGCGCCACCCCTCTGTGCTCCTCCCCGTCATTTGACGCCCGTTGGTCGGCTCTACCAGCAGCACTGCTGCCGCCAGCAGCACCAGAGAGCCCTCGGCTGCTCGCCCCACCCTTGCTGCGCACTGCTGCTGGCTCCTCCGCGGCGCGGTTCAAATCCATGCCACTGCGCTCCGCCCCTCCATGCCGGTTCACATCCATGCCACCCCGTCGCCCCCTGCCTTCTGTGCGCCCACCATCCTCCGCATCCCCCCGGCCCCGCTCCTCCACACCCACCTCCCCCGCCTCCCCTATCTCCCCCGCCTCGCCCTCCTCGCCCGCCTCGCCCTCCTCGCCCTCCTCCCTCCCGCCCGCACCGCCTGCCCCGTCACGACCCGCCCCTCCCTCCACAGGCGCCACGCGAGCCCTCACCTGCTGCCGCCTCTCCCCACTCCCATCCCTCACCCCACTCCACTGCTGCTGCGTCTCATTCCTGCCTCTCTCCCTCTCCCTCACCCCCCCCATGCCTCGCGCCCCCACGTCCACGTCAGCCAGCATCGCCTCATACTCCATCTCCTCCTCCCCGCCCCACCTCCTCTTCCTCCACCCCTCCGCCCCTTCGCCCTCATCCACCGCACTGCCCCGCCCCCCCTTGCCCGGCCCCCCTTGAGGCGGGCTGCCATGCTCCTCCATCTGCCCGCCTGACCACTCGCCTATCTCCCCATCCTCCTCCTCCACGCCCTCTTTGCTTCCCCCACTGCCCCTTCTGCCTTCTCCCCCTTCCCTTTCATTCACTGCTCCATCCCCGCCTCGCCTCTGTGACTCCCCACCCTTTCCGCCGTAATCTGAGTCGCCCCCACTCTGCCGCCCTCCCCTCTCCTCCACTGTGCCTGCCTCACCCGCCCTCCTCGCGCCATCCCCACTCGCGCCATGTCGGAATCTCTCTCTGTCTTGCTTCAGGTTGCCCGGCCTTGCCTCCTGTTGGCCCTGCCTCCTGTGCTCCTGATGCTGGGGTGTTGTCTCTCTTCTGCAACCTTCCTCGTCACTGCATTAGTGCCCTCAGCTCTCTGGGTACCTGCCTTGCCTTGCCACCTGCATCCTGCACTTAAAAGCTCCTCTACTCTCTGAGAGGAGATTGCTTCCACTGGGGGCTGAGCTCGGCAGACTCACTGCTCTTCCTTGGCTCAGATCGTGCTTGCTAGGATTGGCTCCACTCGTGCTAGGTGCTAGGGGTTTCGCCAGCCTGAATTGTAGCTTAGTGTGAAAACAAACTCGCAAGCAAAGATCCCCTACTTGCGCTACTGCTTAAGTAATTGTGAGCGGTGGTTACCGTTGCCGAGCAACGGTGCTTTCGCACGGCTCGCTTTGTGTTCCCGCTCGAGCATTCCCCTTTTCCCCCTTACTTCTCTACAGTCTATTACGCTCCTTCACAATGTCATGCACCTATCTTATTATATCTATACTAAGTATAAAAGCATGACAGCTGTCGGAATCTCTCTCTGTCTTGCTTCAGGTTGCCCGGCCTTGCCTCCTGTTGGCCCTGCCTCCTGTGCTCCTGATGCTGGGGTGTTGTCTCTCTTCTGCAACCTTCCTCGTCACTGCATTAGTGCCCTCAGCTCTCTGGGTACCTGCCTTGCCTTGCCACCTGCATCCTGCACTTGCCCCCTCCTCGGCTGCCTAGCTCCTGCTGCAAGCCGATGGACTCCTTCTACTCCTGGCTGCTGGATTCTTTCTTCTGCCGTTCCTGCACCGTCTTCCTTAGCTCCCCGCCTTGGTCGGGCTCGTGCCACGTTGGTCTGATGGTCTTTCTTCTCCCTGCCTCCCTCGCTCACCAGCACTACCACTCCTGACTCTTTCACTTCCTTGACCTTCCAGCGCTCGTTGCTGAGGCCTATGTCCATCATGTCGTGCCTCGCTTGCTTCAGATATACCTCCTCCCCTACTCCCAGCTGCTTTTCCTTAGCGGCTCCCTGTCCCTCCCTCCTCTTCTTGTATCGCTGCGCGTCTCTAAGCCGAGCCACGTGCAAGTTCTATAGCGCTGCAGGTAGCAGTTCTCTTAGGTACCTGGCCCGTGCCTCTGCCAGCCCCACCCAACTCTCCGCTGATGCCACTGTCACGGTTCCTGTCAGCAGCTTCAGTGCGTCTACTGGCAGTATGGGCTCTCTCCCCAGCAGTAGGTAGTATGGGGACACGTCCTTCAGAGCTGCCTGTTTACTGAACCGGTATCCTGCCGCTACCCAGGGCAGTCGTGCATCCCAGTCTCGCTTGAATTTCTCTCCGTAGGCCCGCAGTCCCCTCTTCATAGTCTGGACAAACCTCTCTGTCAGCCCATCGCTCTGGGGGTGGTAGCGGGATGTCCTTTGGTGCGTGATTCCTGTCGCCTGTAGTAGCTTCTCGAACTCTCCTAGGAATTCGGTCCCTTGGTCGGTCAGGACTTCTCCGCATGCGCCGAATCTGGTGAGGACTTGCTCCTCAAACGCCTCTGCTATTTTCGCCGAGTTCTTACTGGGTAACGCCTTGACCTCCACCCACTTGCTCCCGTGTTCTATCATGATGAGTATGTACCGCTTCCCTCTGCGGCTTAGCGGCATCTCTCCTGCCAAATCTAGCGACCATCGAAACCCTAGTCCTCGTATGGGAAGTGACTGCAACTCCTCTCTTCCTCTCTCCAGCTCTGCCTTGTTCCTGCTACACAGCTCGCATGAATCTACCCACTCTTTTATCTCTCTCCGCATTCCCGCCCACCACCACCCGGTCTCTACTAGCTGGCTGGTCCTCAGACTTCCATAGTGCCCCAGCGTCCGATGCACCTTGGCTATTATCTGCTCTCTTTCTTCTCTCCTTGGCACCAGCTTCCACCCGTCCTTAGTGTTTTTCTGCATCTGGTCCTGGTACCATCTGTAGTGCACCCCTCTTGCCCGGGCTCGCTCGCTGGCTGGCCCGGCCTCTGTCGTTTTGCCTTGTATCCAATTCAGCACCTCTTCATCCTCCCACACATCATCGGGCCCTCGCTCCTGCTTCTTCCTTGCCCCTTCTCCGTCAATCTCTCGGGCTAGTGCGACAAGGCAGGCTGTGGGGCTGTCCGGCGGAGGGTTCCTGGAGAGGCCGTCTACATGCTGCAGCGTCTTCCCCGGTTGGTGCCGGATGGTGAACTCGTACTCTTGCAACCGCATCGCCCACCTGGCGTTCCGACCGGTGAGAGCTTGGTTGGTCATGAGCCAAGTCAAGGGTTGATGGTCTGTCACTAGGGTGAAGGGCCGGCCCTGCAGGTACACACGGAAGTGGGTGACCCCCCACACGGCTGCCAACCCTTCTCCCTCGTAGGAGCAGTAGTTGGCCTCTGCCGGGTTGCAGCTCCTGCTGGCGAAGGCCACTACCATCTCCTGCCCCTCTTTCTCCTGACACAGTATGGCTCCCATGCCTGCACTGCTCCAGTCGGTGTAGAGCACAAAGGGATCCTCCTTACTGGGCAGGGTTAGTACCGACGCCGTCTTCACAGCGGTGAGTAGAGCCTCCAGCGCCCCTTGCTCGGCCTCTCCCCACTGCCATGCTTGCTCTTCCCGCAGTAATCGATTCAGTACTGCTGCCGTCCGGCTGAAGTTGGGCACGAACTTGCGGTAGTAGTTCAAGAAGCCCAACACCGCCCTTAGTGTTGTCCGGTCCTTGGGGGCGGGTACTCGATCCAGCACCTCAACCTTGGCCTGCTGGATGCTCATCTTCCCTCCCTGCACCTCAAATCCCAGGTACTTCACTGCCCTGCTGTCGAACTCACACTTCTTCGGGTGGCAGGTTAATCCAGCTCCCTGGATGGCCACCAGGGTGGCCTGCACGTCCTTCACGTGTTGCTCGGGGCTGGGACTGAAGACGATGACATCGTCTATGTAGCAGGCAGCGGCTGGCACGTTCCTCAAGACTGCGTCCATCACTCGCTGGAACAGCGCCGAGGCATTCCTCATGCCAAACGGCATGCACCTCCACTCGTACAGTCCGTCTGGCCCATGGAATGCTGTCTTCTTTCGGTCCTCTGCTCTGATGGGTATCTGGTTGAAGCCTTGTCTGAGATCTAGCGTCGAGAACACAGCTGCCCCCTGTAGCTTGTCAAAGATTTCTTCGGCGGATTGCATGGGGTATCGGTCTGCCACGGTGACCTTGTTCAGGCCCCTGTAATCCCCGCACATTCTCCTCGCCGACACCTCCCCTATGAGGTCCTTCCTCGAGGCCACTACTGTCGCTGCTGCGTAGTCACTTTCTGAGCGCTGGATCAACCCTGCCTCTAGCAGCTCCGCGCACTTTTCCATGCATATGTCGATGTCTCCTGGGCTCATCCGTCTCTTCCTCTGGTAGATCGGTATCTCCGTGGTGAGCTTGATTTCCATGACGTGTGACTTGCATTCTCCTAGCTCCTGCAGCGTGTAGGCGAAGCACTGTCGGTGTTGCCTTAACACCTCCTGTAGTTCCCTGGCTGCTGCTGCCCCCATTCCTGAGCCTATGGGCCATTCCTCTTCTGGTGTCCTCTCCCTTTCTTTCACTGCTCCTGCCTTCGTCTCCTCCTCAGCCTCTTCCTCTCTCTTCTCTCCTCCTTCGCATTCCATGGCCATGCATGCCCAGCCTTCTCTGATCCTTTCTTCCTGCTGCTCCTCCATGGCTTGCAGCTGCCTTTTTCCCCTCTCCACTTCCAAGTCCTCCTGGTATCTCACGCTTATCTCTATCTCCCTTTGAATGTCTTTCGTCTTGAGGTGCATGCGAATCGTCTCAATCAGCCAGCTCATGACGTTGAGGTCCATCGCCCTCCCTATCGCCGCTCTTCTCTGCTTCTCTGTCACTCTCGGATGTGCCGTGGCGTCCCACCTGTGCCCCATGGCTGCTTCCCTTTCCCGTGCAGTCGGCTCTTCCCATTTCCCGGCTCTGGCGTCGTAGATCATTCCTGGCCCTGGGAGATCTCCCTCCATGCGGAAACCCCAGGATCCTTCGTACGCGACCAGGGTGGGCAGCGCCTGCCGTGGCTTTCCGGGCTCATTGCATTGGTACTGTGAAGGATGGTCTGGGATCTTGACGGGCGCCGGCAGTCTGTTAGGCCCCAGGATATCGCTCACCAGCCTTGGTTCCGGGCGCTGCATCTGGGCCAGGGAGTGTCTCAGGCTAGCTTCTGACACCCCGTTCTGCCAGTATCTCCTGGGCCGATGCGCCCTGGATCCTAGCTGGGCGGCGTCCACTGCCACCCCTCTTCCCACTGCCGCCTCTATCTCTGCAAAGGCTAGCTTCACGGGCTCCCTCCTGTCCTCCGCCAGGTCTACATTCTCCAGGATGTAGATTACCTCTCCTTGCTTCCTTTGTATCATCTCCAGCACCTTCTGCAGATCCCTGAAGGAAGCACCCCGTGGGTCCTCCATCCCTCTTCCTTCCCCCGCACGGGAGTACCCCTGGCACTCCCATCCGGCCACCACTAGATCCACTTGCCCCCATCTCTCCAGCTGCTCCTCGGTGATATCCCTCACGTCATCCACGGAGGCTTCATCTTCTGCGGGGATGGCTGTACTTAACATCTGCTGGGGGTAGTCTTCTAGCAGCTTCAAGGCGTGATGCCTGGCCATCCTCCGGACCACTGGGTCTTTCTCCACATGTACCCACTTCCGGACGAAGCAGCCCGCCTTCAGTGCCGCCGCCAAGCCCGTCCCGATGCCTCCATACAGCTCCAGTACACAGAGGGCACTCTCCAGTGCCCACACTCTGCTCACCCTTTCCTTCAGGGAGGGCGGATCTTCCCCTCTCGCTCTCCTTTCGGTCCTGCCCTCGTACTCCTCTGCGTACTGCTCCCAGCTCCAGTCGTCTAGCTCCTCCGACAGGTCCTTCCTCTGCGCCTGGTACGCCTCCCTCGGCTCCTGCCTTACGAATTTCACCGGTAGAGTGCCGACCGAGCTCTCTGGGTCCCAGTAATGCACTCTGTAGAGAACCTTTTCCTGCCACGTGCATATGGTGGCCCCCACCCTGTAGAGGAGCTCCATGCCCACCAGTATGTCATAGTCCTCTGACTCCGAGACCCCGCAGTTGAGCCTGATGCAACACTCCTTCTCTGTCCCTGGCAGCAGTACCACCTCAATGGGCCTGCGGGTGCGTGGCATCCATTTCGGCTCCCCCCCTTCGGCGGTCATCAGAAGAATACCTCTCTCTACCAGGCGTCCTGGTAGATCCAGCTTCAGGTGCTTCGCCAGGCCCTTGCCGATCAGAACGTGGTGGGCTCCGGTATCTATGATGGCCTGCCCCACGGGCAGGCCTCCTACCGTCAGGCTGCCCTTGTCGGCTATGAGGACGGAGGCTTGGCAGACCAGCCGCTCGTTTGGGTGCCTGCGCATCCCCGTTCCGCTGCCTCCCCCTGCCCGCTCGTATCGCCGGCTTCTCTCTGCCGTCGTGCCACTCTCTTGCGTCGTTGGGTTTCGGGGCCTCAGGTCTATCTCGTCTCTTTCGCGTGGGTAAGCCATGCAGGAGTACTCCTTGATGTATTCTTCCTCTTCCTCCTCTACTCCCTCCACTTCCTCGTATGCCAGCATGGCTCTCTCCTTGTGCGTGGAGGTCCCCCTTCCTTCCAGCTTCAGCTGCAACCGCTTGATCTCTGCTTGCAGCCCTTCCCTTGTCTCCGGCCCCTCTTCTCTCTTCCTGCTGTAGCACTCCGCCCTTGTGTGCCCCCGCTTTCCGCAATTCTCGCAGGTGGGAGCTTTTGGGCAATCCCGCTTCAGGTGTCCCGCGTCTCCGCATTCGTGGCATCTCCTGCTGTCTGGGCGGCTCACCGCGGCTTGCTCTGGCTCCAGCATCGCGGCTGCCGCCCAGGTCGTTTTGGGCTTCGTCCGCGTCTCTCCGTCCTCGAGGTCAAGCAGGCGTTGCGCATGTTCTGTCCTCTTCGCCAACCCATACACCTCCTTCAGTGTAATGTCAGCTCCAATTCCGTACACGTTGTTGCGCACCACCCCCTTCAGCTCCTCGTCCAATCCGCGCACGAACTTGCGCACCAGCAGTCTCTCCTCCTTACACTCCAGGTCGTCGGCCAACTCTTTCAGCCGGCAGTAGTACGCGAGCAGGGACTCGTCCTTCTTCCGGCGGAACTCGCGGAACTCCTCTACTCGCGATTTGGTTTGCCCCAGGAACTCTTTTTTCAGCATCTCTAGGAACCTCGCCATCGGGTTCTCTATTTCTTGGCATTCTGCTTCCTCCAGTATCTCCTGACGCACCATCCGATAGTAGGTCTCCGCTTCTCCCGAGAGCGTCACCACCATGCGTCGGAAGAACTCACCGGGATCCATGCCGTCTCTCTCCCAACAGTACTTGACCGTCTCCAGCTGCATAAGGTAGTTTTTCAGCGACGGTCCCACTCCTGGAATTCCTGTGAATCGCTCAGCGACTTCGATCTTGGGCAGTCCGGCGGTGGTCCAGCGATGTGCCTTGGGAGATTCTGGGCGAGGCCGTGCGTCAGTCGGGATCGCGACTCTGCTTTCCATCAGCGCGCGGTCTCGCGGGGTCAGCTGTCCCCCGCTGTCGTTCCGCTGAGCCCACTCCTCCTTCTCTTCTCCGGCTTGCCTTCTCATTCCCGGCATCGTCCTCGGCGACCGGGTTTCGTATCTGGTCTCCCACCGCGCTCTTGCTTCGCTCGCCCATTGCGGGTTGATCGGGGTTCCTCCTGGATCCGAACTAATGTGTCGCTTCTCCTCCATTTCGCGTACTCCTTCTCGCGCTCTCTGGTGCGGGGTGTGATACGACAGGGGAGTTAGCCGCGGGCTTTGGCGATCGGCGGTCTGTCCGTCGCCCGTCGTCACTACCCTCGGTTGCGCTCTCCAGCTGGGCGCTGCTTGCTGGCTTTCTCTGGCGTAACTCAGTCTAGAGTTGAGTCGAAACTCGTCGGTCATTGCTTCTTACGCTAGCTTTTGCTTGCGAGTTTGTTAAAAGCTCCTCTACTCTCTGAGAGGAGATTGCTTCCACTGGGGGCTGAGCTCGGCAGACTCACTGCTCTTCCTTGGCTCAGATCGTGCTTGCTAGGATTGGCTCCACTCGTGCTAGGTGCTAGGGGTTTCGCCAGCCTGAATTGTAGCTTAGTGTGAAAACAAACTCGCAAGCAAAGATCCCCTACTTGCGCTACTGCTTAAGTAATTGTGAGCGGTGGTTACCGTTGCCGAGCAACGGTGCTTTCGCACGGCTCGCTTTGTGTTCCCGCTCGAGCATTCCCCTTTTCCCCCTTACTTCTCTACAGTCTATTACGCTCCTTCACAATGTCATGCACCTATCTTATTATATCTATACTAAGTATAAAAGCATGACAGCCACCCTCACCTCCCACGCTACCACCCGCCCTCCCATCCCTGCCCTTCACCGCCTCCCGCTCCCTCCTGCGATCACTCTCCCGCTGCCCGCCTCTCTCCACGTCTCGCTCCCTCTCCCCATCACTGTGCCTCCTCGCCCCCTGCGCGCCCACAGCCCCGCCGGCAGCAGCGGCGCCACGCGAGTCACTGAAGCCGCCAGCAGACGCCCTCCCCTGCGAGGGCGCACTGCTGCTGGTGGTGGTGGCGGATGGCAGGGGGGGTTGCGAGGAGAGGGAGGACGCGGCCCCACGGGAGGTGCCACGGGCGGCAGCAGCAGCGGAGGGAGCGATGGCAGTGGAGGCGACGTGGGAGGGGTTGGGGGCGAGGCGCACCTGCTCGTACAGCTCCAACAGCTGCACACTCACGTCTGGTGCCAGGGGGAGGAGGGGGGGGGGAGCGTGGGGTGGGGGTGGGGGTGGGGGTGGAGGGGAGGGGAGGGGGAGGATGTGCAGGGACACCGAAAGAACGAGAGAGTGAAAAAAACACACACAGCGAATCAACGAGAAGGGGTTACGGCATCACACGGCTGATGCAGACAGGTGGCATTGGGTGGGCGGGGTGGCAGTGGGTGGGCGAGGTGGCATAAAACGCTTCACACGCTGAAAACTATATTGGCTTTGCACTGCACACTCCACCACATGCCCCTGGCAGCACGGCGTGCGTGCTTGCATGCATGCGTGGAGGGCGGCGCACCGTGGAGCAGTTTGGGGGTGACGTTGAAGTCAGCCCACCAGGGCGAGTCGCTGTCGCCCGGCAGCTTCACTCGCAGGAACTTGGCCGCCAGGCTGATGGCGCCCGCCGCGAACTGCTCCGCTCGCACCTGCAGACACAGCGACGTGCGCAGCCTGGCAGGGGGAGGGGGAGGTGAGGGGGGTGGGGGGTTAGCAGGCAGGACGAGGGAGGAAACGTTGGGGGTGGGAAAGCAGGAGATGGCAGGCAGCACATGCAGATGGCAGGCAGCACATGCAGATGGCAGGCAGCACATGCAGATGGCAGGCAGCACATGCAGATGGCAGGCAGCACATGCAGATGGCAGGCAGCATATGCAGATGGCAGGCAGCACATGCAGATGGCAGGCAGCACACGCAGATGGCAGGCAGCACATGCAGATGGCAGGCAGCACATGCAGATGGCAGGCAGCACATGCAGATGGCAGGCAGCACATGCAGATGGCAGGCAGCACATGCAGATGGCAGCACATGCAGATGGCAGGCAGCACATGCAGATGGCAGGCAGCACATGCAGATGGCAGGCAGCACATGCAGATGGCAGGCAGCACATGCAGATGGCAGGCAGCACATGCAGATGGCAGGCAGCATATGCAGATGGCAGGCAGCACATGCAGATGGCTGGCAGCACATGCAGATGGCAGGCAGCACATGCAGATGGCAGGCAGCACATGCAGATGGCAGGCAGCATATGCAGATGGCAGGCAGCACATGCAGATGGCAGGCAGCACACGCAGATGGCAGGCAGCACATGCAGATGGCAGGCAGCACATGCAGATGGCAGGCAGCACATGCAGATGGCAGGCAGCACATGCAGATGGCAGGCAGCACATGCAGATGGCAGGCAGCACATGCAGATGGCAGGCAGCACATGCAGATGGCAGGCAGCACATGCAGATGGCAGGCAGCACATGCAGATGGCAGGTAGCACATGCAGATGGCAGGCAGCACATGCAGATGGCAGGCAGCACATGCAGATGGCAGGCAGCACATGCAGATGGCAGGTAGCACATGCAGATGGCAGGCAGCACATGCAGATGGCAGGCAGCACATGCAGATGGCAGGCAGCACATGCAGATGGCAGGCAGCACATGCAGATGGCAGGCAGCACATGCAGATGGCAGGCAGCACATGCAGATGGCAGGCAGCACATGCAGATGGCAGGCAGCACATGCAGATGGCAGGCAGCACATGCAGATGGCAGGCAGCACATGCAGATGGCAGGCAGCACATGCAGATGTCAGGCAGCACATGCAGATGGCAGGCAGCACATGCAGATGGCAGGCAGCACATGCAGATGGCAGGCAGCACATGCAGATGGCAGGCAGCATATGCAGCACGAACAATCGGGAGGGATGGCACACACATGGACTCTCCCTTTCCACACACCACCACCACCACACTCCGTCCCCCCTTCCCCTCAACCACCTTCCCTGCCTTATCCCCCCTCCTCCCCTCCCCCATCTCCCCTCCATCTCCCCTCTCCCCCCTCCCCCCTCTCCCGTCCCCCCTTCTCCCCCCCCCCTGGGCTGACCCGTCGTTGATGAAGTTCCAGGCGACCTGGGCGAGGGCCTGCTGGGCGACCTTGAAGCGCTTGACGGCGGCCACCAGCGGCTTGTACGCGTGCGCCACGTTGAGGTCGAACCCCAGCGTGGCCAGCACGAGCCCCTCGCCCACCAGCACCACCTCCCTCTGCTGCTCCTCCTGGTCAAGCCCCCACACAGTGGGGTGGAGGGGATGGAGGGGGGACACGCAGGAGGAGTGAAAGGGGAGGAGGGACAGGTGGGGTAGGGACCAGAGGAGAGGGCAATCAGAATGCACACCCTATGGGGCACCTTGGCACCTTGTGCGTGGCACCTTGTGGGGCAGCTTGGCACCTTGTGGGGCAGCTTGGCACCTTGTGGGGCAGCTTGGCACCTTGTAGGGCAGCTTGGCACCTTGTGGGGCAGCTTGGCACCTTGTAGGGCAGCTTGGCACCTTGTGGGGCAGCTTGGCACCTTGTGGGGAGCTTGGCACCTTGTGGGGCAGCTTGGCACCTTGTGGGGCAGCTTGGCACCTTGTGGGGCAGCTTGGCACCTTGTGGGGCAGCTTGGCAGCGGCGGCGGGGTCCTTGCGGGCCTGCGCGTCGAGGCTCTTCTGCACCACCTCCCTGAGCGCGCGCGGCGTCTCCTCCACCTTGCCCGCCAGGAACATGCACACCGTCGCTATCGCCTGATGGTGGGGGGAGGGGCACGGCCGTGAAGCACAAGGGGGGAAAGTGGGGGGAGGGGGGGGCACGGCACATTGGGGGGAGAAAGAGGGAGGAGGTGGCGGCATGACGCACAGGGGGACGGGGGGAGGGTACGGACGTTGGTGTGGTGAAGGAGGCATGCATGGTGGACGCGTGAAGGCACTGCTGTGCAACCACACACACACTCGTGTCTGGCGCGCGCACACACAAACTCGCTCGTGTATAATGCGCACACACACTCGTGTATGCCACACACACTCATACATGTGACACACACACACACACACACACACACACACACACACACACACACACACATACACACACCCACATACACTGCATGGCACACACACTCGTGTATGGCACATGAGGCTCGCAGAAACGGGAAAACATAGCAGAGAGGGCAAAACCCATGGGTGGGTGGGCAAGGCCCATGGGTGGGAGGGCAAGGCCCATGGGTGGGAGGGCAAGGCCCATGGGTGGGAGGGCAAGGCCCATGGGTGGGAGGGCAAGGCCCATGGGTGGGAGGGCAAGGCCCATGGGTGGGAGGGCAAGGCCCATGGGTGGGAGGGCAAGGCAAGAGAACGCACATAGCGGTCGTTCTTGGCGTGCGACTGGCGCATGAAGAAGCGATGACAGAACACGATGGCCGTCGCTATCGTTATCTGCGGCCTGGGGGCGCCCGGGGGAAGGGGGGATGGGGGGGTGTTGTGCGGGGTGAGGTGGGGGATGGTGAGGTGAGGTGAGGTGAGGTGAGGTGAGGTGAGGTGAGGTGAGGTGAGGTCCATTTGGCGCACAGACTGGCGGGCCATTTGCCCAATGCATGCGAGCAGACTGGCGGGCCATTTGCCCAATGCATGCGAGCAGGTCAGGCAAGAGCAACGGTTGAGGCGCGGGGGAATGGCATGAGGGGCGGGGGAAGGGCATGAGGCGCGGGGGAACGGCGTGAGGGGCGGGGGAAGGGCATGAGGCGCGGTGGAAGGGCATGAGGCGCGGGGGAAGGGCATGAGGCGCGGTGGAAGGGCACGAGGCGCGGGGGAAGGGCATGAGGCGCGGTGGAAGGGCATGAGGCGCGGGGGAAGGGCATGAGGCGCGGGGGAAGGGCATGAGGCGCGGGGGAAGGGCATGAGGCGCGGTGGAAGGGCACGAGGCGCGGGGGAAGGGCATGAGGCGCGGTGGAAGGGCATGAGGCGCGGGGAAAGGGAATGAGGCGCGGGGGAAGGGCATGAGGCGCGGGGGAAGGGCATGAGGCGCGGTGGAAGGGCACGAGGCGCGGGGGAAGGGCGTGAGGCGCGGGGGTGGGGTGGGGGGTGAGGGCGTACACGCGGAGGCGCATGCCGAGGTCCTGCAGGAAGGTGCAGTAGGAGCGGCGCAGATACGTCTCACGCCGCAAGTCAATGCCATCGGCACGCGACGGCGAGTGCTTCTCAATGTGCTCGCGGCTGAAGTACCACTGCCCGCCCTCGCCACTGCCCGGCCCCCCGCTGCTGCCCGCGGTGGCCGCATCCGCGGGCGCGGCGTCGGTGCGCGCCATGGCCTTGGCAGCGCCGGGGCGGCCAAGCAAGCCGGCGACGAGGTAGGAGGAGGAGGGCAGCGACGCCATGGCGGGGCGCATGCACTGATGGCCGCCTTGCTCCCCCCGTCACGCGCCCTGCACTCAGAGGGGCGACGGGACGGCAGGGCGGGGAGATGGGAGGGCAGGGCGGGGAGATGGGAGGGCAGGGCGGGGAGACGGGACGGCAGGGCGGGGAGATGGGAGTGCAGGGGGGAGACGGGTGGCAGGGCGGGGAGACGGGAGGGCAGGAGGGAGAGATGGGAGGGCAGGGACGGAAGGGTGGTACGGGAAGCGCGGGAAGGGAAGGGCAGGAAGGGAAGGGCAGAAGGGAAGGAGGGGGAGGGGAATGGAAGGAGGGCAATGGAAGGAAGGGAATGGAAGGAGGGAAATGGAAGGAGGGAAATGGAAGGAGGGAGAATGGAAGGGGGGAAATGGAAGGAGGGGAATGGAAGGAGGGGAATGGAGGGAATGCAGTGGGGCGACTCACCCCGTGAGGGCCGCCTAGGTTCTATTCGCGTGCCGCTATGCACGAGCTTCCCTGTGCCGCTATGCACGAGCTTCCCTGTGCCGCTATGCACGAGCTTCCCTGTGCCGCTATGCACGAGCTTCCCTGTGCCGCTATGCACGAGCTTCCCTGTGCCGCTATGCACGAGCTTCCCTGTGCCGCTATGCACGAGCTTCCCTGTGCCGCTATGCACGAGCTTCCCTGTGCCGCTATGCACGAGCTTCCCTGTGCCGCTATGCACGAGCTTCCCTGTGCCGCTATGCACGAGCTTCCCTGTGCCCGCCCTCGCTCGCACTCGCCGCGGTGGAATGACGCTAGCTATAAGGCCACAACACGGGAGGGCGGGCGGGGGGAACGGTGGGCGAGTGGAAGGAAGGGGATTGAAGGGCGGCGAAAGGTAGCAAAGGGGAGAGATGGGGATTGAAGAGGAGGCGACGAAAGGAAGGGGTCGGGAGAGGTCTTGAGGGGAAGTGACGGGAAGGAAAAGGAAGTGGAGCGAATGAAAAGGAAGGGAACGGGAGAAAAAGGGTTTCGGTAAGGGAATTGAAGGGAACGGGAGGACGGTGAGGATTGAGAATGGGAATGGAAAGCAGGGGCGAGGAGGAACGGTGCGTGGGGAGGCGCGGCGAGTGTGAGCGGGCGGGCGGGCCTCGCGACGCACCCCGGGGGCGATCGCAAGGTGCGTGCGTTAGCAGACGCGGCGGGTTGTGAGAGTGAGTGGGGCCGTGCAGATGGGCCGTGCAGATGGGCCGTGACGCGCTATGGCCTCGGGCGCGCGGCGATACGACACGGTGCGCGTCACGATCGCTCTTGCGCGCGCGAGAGGCGACAGCGATCTGCTTGCCTTGGGCGTGCGCGTGGTGATGACTACCGGGCACGCGACAGCTTTTGCACGACCGATCGTGGGGGCAGGCGAGAGGAGTGTGAGCAGCGAAGTGGCGAGGCGAGGCCGTGAGGGGTGGCGAGAAGGGAGCGAGAGGTGCTGGGCCACCGCGATTGAAAGCGGGCTGGCGCGACTAGGCTCGATATGTGTTAGGCAAGAGTGAGATGCGAACTAGATGAGAGTGCGGGACAGGCGCGAGTGACGGGTACCCCTTATTTTGGTGGCAGGCCCTTGTTGCATGTATAAGTTGACCCAACTGGTGGCACGAAGTCCGACCTGTGACGAGCTCTCGCCGCGGAACATCCTGTAAACTGTAAAACGCGATAACAGCATGGCGATTGTCAAGTTCAAAATCCTTTAACTTGAATTCACCACAACCAGGGTACCTTTATTCGGTTGAAAGAACCCTTGCGAGCCTCTGAGATCGTGGTGACTGTGTAACTTTGTGGTTGATGGTGATGTCAATGCGCTGCGCCAGGTTTTGCTCAAACTGGTTGAGTAGCGCGTTGCTGGTGCCTGTGTACAGCAGGTCATCGACGTAGACCGTCAGTAGAATGTAGTCGCCATTGAAATGGAGGCAGTACATTCCCGGGTCGTGCGGTAGCTGTTTGAGATCGATCTCAAGGAGAATTTTGTTCAAATGCTGCTGCCAGAGTCGCGGCGCCTGCTTAATCTTGCAAAGGGACTTTTTTCAGCTGACAAACCCTTGGGTCTCCTTCCCCGTAGGTGTGCGGCTGCTCCACGAAAATGGTCGCATCGACCAACGCGTACAAGAACATTTTTTTTCACGTCGATCTACCACAGTGGTAGCTGCTTAGCAGCAACGATAGCGAGTAGGATTCGTACAGAGGTGTGTCGGCTTACAAGGGCGAAGGTCTGGTTGAAGTCAATCCCGTGGCACTGGCCGTACCCGCGTACGACCCACCTGCCGTTGGCGATAGTCTTGAGACGAAACACCCGTGAGAGCTTGTCGTGGATTCTTAGGCTCGATGATTCGCGGAGCGGTGGACATGGCGGTGTGGAGACATGATAGTTTTAGGCCTGTGACGTTTTCCACACCTTGCGCTTATTTCAACCACATCGGCATCGTCGCTTTCGTGTGCAGGCGGAGGGCTCCTTGGAGGGGCCTGGCGCTGAGAAGGGCCTGGCGCGTAATGATCGTCATCATCATCGTCGTCGTCGCGTGATCGAGGAGGTACGCCGGGATTATCATCGGTGGTGTTACAGTCGAGCCCCACTGCTGCTACCTCATCTTCTGGGGAGGCGAAGCTCCTGCCACTGTTGGCGTAAGCTTGTGTTGCGCCAGCTCGCTGATCCGCGAGCCAGTTGTGAAATGTGAGTTTTTCATAGAAGAGAATGTCATGCACATGTATTTGTTGGAGTCAATGTCCAGGATTAGCCGCCTCTTAAACTCATAGCTAATCCCAAGGTGAACCCCCCAGCACATGTCCGCCTGTATCGAACCATGCATCTCCAAACCTTCAGCATGGAGGTGCCTCCCCTTGTCCTGATCCACTCCATGTGGGGTGAGAGATATCCCCTGTTGGCAGTTGTGGACCAGAGATCCTCACGGCGTGGTGCATGGCGTAGGGCCAATACTTCAGGGGGAGGCCGGACTGCTTCAGAAGTGCGCGGACGTTCGTCATGAGGGTGCGCTTTGTCAAACTATATGTGCTGCTTGTTGTGTAGGCTGTAGTGGGGTATCCCATATAGGGTACAACACAAATTAGGGTTTCCTACTTGTACCCATCCTCCTGCTAGTTTATTCATTCCTGTTCGTTATTCTGACATGGTATTAGAGCAGGTCCTAGCCTAGGACCGATTTCTTAGGGCCCACCGAGTAGCGCTACCCCACCCGTCGCGCCACTGCCCTGCCGTGCGCGCCTTACCCTGCCGTGCGCGGCCTGCCCTGCCATGTGCCCTGCCCTGCTGTGCGCGCCACGCGCCGCTCTCTGCTGCACTACTGCTAGCGCGCTCCCCTGCCTAGCTCGCTATGGCCACTCTCAATATTCTCACTTTCGATTCGGAGGGCCGCCCGATAGAGTTCGCTGCATGGCTAGACGATTTACAGCTGTTCCTGCTGACAGACTCTAAGGACGGTACCTCGCTGTTTGACCTCACTTCTGGCGCCCCGCCCGCCCCTGACGCCATAGCTGACAGTGCGACCCGCTCAAAGTGGCTTACCCATGACGCTGCTGTTCGCCTAGCCACCTGCCGTTAGCCGAACGCGCCCACTTTGGCCAGCATAAGACAGCGCAAGCACTGTACAACGTTGTGGTCGCTCATTACTCCTCCCCGGCCACTGCTGCTCTAGGCCACCTTCTCCTGCCCTACCTGTTCCCAGACCTGTCCGCCTTTGCCACAGTAGCCGACCTAGTCACTCACCTCCGCACTAGTGACACTCGCTACCGTGCTGCGCTCCCTGCCGAGTTTCTCACCAAGAACCCCCCCCCCCCCCATGTACATCACGCTCTACTTCATAGTCACCCGCCTCCCTGACTCTCTTACTGCAGTCAGGTGTTACGATAAGAATGAATTGGTAGAAAATGAGAAGTACAACCCTAGATATAGCAAACCCTAATCATGCAAGGAAGTAGAAAAGTAACACCTAGACTAACCTAAACAACACATATAAAATATATGTTGACACACCCCCATAGTCTAGGTGACGGTAACCCCGTGGAAAGACAACACATATCTCAGGGTGGGTCTCAAGGACACACACAGTCTGAGAGCAAACAAGGGTCACATGACCAGTCAGCAAGAATAAGAACAAGCAAGGGTCACAAGACCAGTCCACAAGAACAAGACAAATCTCAGGGTGGAGCTCAAAGTCACCACACAGTCCGAGAGCAAGCAAAAGAGCCACAAGGCCAGTTCACATGCAGGTATATAGCAAATATATTGAGATGCAAGAATACAAGACAATAAGGACAAAGCATCTACGTAAGCAAGTGAGGACGGGCCCGCACAAGGCCAAGCTGGGTGCAGAAACGCTGGTGATCACAAGGCGGCAACGCCTTGGTGAAGATATATGCAGTGTTGGCCTCAGAGACCACACGTCGTACGAGTGCCTGACCACGCTGCTGCAGCTCACGCAGAAGGAAATAACGAAGCTGGATGTGCTTCGCCTTCCCAACCAGTCGGGGCTCCTCACACAACAGGACGGCAGACCTGTTGTCGGCGAACAAGACTGGGGGAGAGCGAGGCCGCTCACCAAGGTCGGTGAGAAGGAAAGACAGCCAGCGAAGCTCCTGAGCGGCCATGGCCGCAGCGTACACCTCTGCCTCACAGCTGGAACCGGCGACGGACGACGCCCGAGTCGACCGCCACGAAACAGCACCTGCCCCGAGGCTAAAGGAGTACCCCTGTGTAGACCGACGCGTCTCCGCGTCGTCGGCCCACGACGAGTCCGAGTAACCTGTAAGTGTAACTGGCTGCTTCCCTCCAAGGACAAGTCCCATGCCTGATGTACTCGCCACATACTTCGCCACCCTCTTAGCAGCGTACCAGTGGGACGGTCGGTGTCTCCCAGGCGCAACAAAGCGCGCAAGTACGCTAAGAGGGTAAGCTAGGTCTGGGCGAGTACAGGTCATCAGGTACATGAGACAACCCACCAGCTCAGGATATGGACCACTGGACTCAAATGACTCGTCCGAAGGTGGAGCCGTGAGCCCATGGTCCACACCAAGAGGGGTGAGCTGTACCTTGGAGAACGGGAAGCGAAACCGCGTGAGGATCTGCTCGACCATATGCGACCGAGTCAGCGTAATGGTGCGAGCTGCCCTGTCCCTGGTGATCTGCAGGCCAAGGTAGTGCTGCAGCTCACCAAGGTCAGTGCAAGTGTGTCTCCTCTGCAGTTCCTCCTTCACAGAGGCCAGCGCGCGTCGGTCGGGAGTGGCGAACACCAGGTCGTCGACGTAGACCAGGACAAAGAACGGGGTCGAGCCACGGCGAACGAACAGTGACGGGTCAGCAGACGACGGAAAGAAGTCAAGCGCTGCAAGGGTCGAACGAAGTGTGTCGTGCCACTCACGTGGAGCCTGACGCAGGCCGTGGACTGGTCGACGCAGCTGCCACTGGGTCCCAGGTGGGAAAGAGCCAGTGAAGCCAGGCGGGCGACGCAGCCAGATCTGCTCGTGCAGGTTCCCCTGAAGGAACGCGGTGGAGAAGTCCAAAGAGTGCAACTCGTAGTCGCGCTGGGCTGCAATATGCAGCAACACCCGAAGAGTACTCATCTTCGGGGTGGGAGCGAAGGTCTGGAAGAAGTCCACCCCCTCTCGCTGACTGAAGCCTCTCGCCACATAGCGCGCCTTGAACACATGTGGTGATCCAGGCGGCCGCTTCACCTTGTAGAGCCATCGGCCACTGACGACGTTCGTCCCAGGTGGTGGGACTGCGTCGACGTAAGTGCCTGTGGACCTATAAGAT